TAAATGGTTAGGATTTAATAACACCCACAACAGTTGGATTGATAAAAAAAAAATTACATAGTCGCTTTTCTCTCAGTCAGTTGACATAATTGATACGATGAAGTTGGTTGTAGTCGACGTACAAGGTTTTTGTCTACCTGAATTCATTGTAAAAGAACTTGCGATTTACGATGGAATTAACACAATACACGAAACATTCAAATCTACAAAACAACTCAAAGAAATCGATGAAAGAACGAAGAAACAAGCTAGATATCTAGAACGTTATCATCACATGTTGAGATTTAATGACGGCTTCAAGGAGCAGATATCTGTAAAAGAAATTTTGTTCAAATACATCAAGGAATATGCAGTGGAGATCTTATATGTAAAAGGAAAATGTAAAGAAAATTACCTTAGGGAAACGCTAGGAAAAGACTGCCCCAAAATTGTGAACCTCGAAACAATTGAAGACTCTGTGAAATTATCTAAAGAAATCCCAGCATGTGATAAACATATTGCTAATAATAAAAAATGTTACTGTTCTTTAAACAATGCTAAATGTATTTACAATTGGTTGTATTCAAGGTTTCCTCAATAAAGAATACTATATTAAACTGTGTTTTATTTAATCGCAACACAAAACGTCAAAATAACGAACGAAAAAAAAAAAAAAACTGTCAGGTGTGGGATTCGAACCCACGCTCCCTTTCGAGAATCAGAGCTTAAATCTGACGCCTTAGACCGCTCGGCCAACCTGACTATGGAAAAACGGGTCAGGTCGATCGAGTAAAAGGCGGTGCCAAAACGTACAGGTCAGGCACGTGAAGTCCTAAGGCAAGTCAGTCAAGGCCAGCCCCGTGCAGCGACCCGACCTAAAAAAAAAAAAGAGGGGATAGATCTCGAGATGACCAAGGGCAATAAACGTAATTCCTACAGACGAATCCATCGACTTTTATACAAGTATAAAACGGAAGTGGGGATGCGAGATTGCGTCCGAGATCCCTCCCCGACCTAAACGAAAAGAGGGGATAGATCTCGAGATGGACGAGGGCAATAAACGACCAAGGTCGAGCAACGACTAGGTCAATGATCGCCCGATGAAAAGTAATGGGGGAGCTGGACCAGCTGGCAAGGTCAGCCACGTGCACCGACAAGCTCGACAACAAATGAAAGGTCAATGACCGCTCGATGAAAAGTAATGGGGGAGCTGGACCAGTTTGACCTCATTTGACCTGGTCTAGAACCCCCACTATATAACTACTTACAGTTAAGTCATTTTAGATTAAGTCAGGTTAGGTGGCATGGCATATGCTTTCTACTTGTCGTTGATACTTTTCTTCTTTTTATTCATACATATTGTGACGACATTTTCATTCGTTGTCAGATCGCGAGGCGGGGCTTATTTACAAATTTGATATCCCTCTACAAAAATGTTCTATTTAAACATGATCTAAGTATCTTATTGTGAAAAGAACACTATGTCTATTACGAAAAAAGCAAAATAGAAGCCCCGCCTACCCGCCCCCATCGCAATTGTGGTGATTTTTTTATTCGCCGTGAGCCCAGAGGCGGAGCTTATTTGCAAAATTTTTCTCCACAAGAAATTACCATCTGAAAAAAACAGATTAAGCCCCACCCACCCCCCCTGGTCTCATTTGTGATAAATTTTTCACCAAAACATGTATTAAGCATTACCATTTTGTCGAAAATAGATCATTTTGAGAAAAAGGGGACTGTGTATCCCCCCTCCCCTACTGTGTCAACAATAAAACATGTTTCACATGGTAAATTATTACAGAGAAATAAAGCTTTTGCAATTAAGCTCCGCCTCTGGGCTCACGGCGAATAAAAAAATCATCACAATTGAGGTGGGGGCGGGTGGGGGGGGCTTCTATTTTTCTTTTTTTCTTAATATACATATTCTCCTTTTTATAATAAAATACTTAAAACATGTTTAAATTGGAAAATGTTTGCAGAGAAATGTCAATTTTGCAATTAAGTCCCGCCTCTCGGCTCACGACGAATAAAAAGTCATCACAATTCAGACGAGGGTGGGTGGGCGGGGTTTTATTTTGCCTTTGTTTCTTTACATATGTACGTAAGAAACTAAAAATGCTTAAAAATGGCAAATTGTAGAGAAGAAAAAAAAGTCAATTCAGGTCACTTTATTTATTTATTTTTTTAATATGTTAGTTCAGTTCAGGTCATACTTCGTCTGTTTAGGACAGAAAAAAAATCAACATAAAAGTGGAACAAGACTTTCAGGAGTTCCAGGAATAAGGGGGGAGGTTTTAATAAGGTGGAAGTCCCACAACCCCTGGCGGAATTGAATATCTTGCCACGGGTAGTGGTTTCTTCTTCCCCAAAGGGAAAATAGTTAAGTCAGGTCAGATCAAGTTGGATTAAGTCATTTCAGATCAGGTCAAGTCAGTACTGATCACGTGAGCTCAAGTCAAAACACGTCTACTCAAACCACGTTAAGTCTGCCTATATTACATTAGATTAAGTCAGGTCAGATTTTTTCAAGTCACATTAGACGACTTTAAGTTAGGTCAGGACAAAACATGAACAAAATTAAAACAAACTTGAACTTTCATAGGTTCCAGGTGTAAGGGAGAGGGATTTTAGTGGGGTAGAAGTCCCACGTGTCTCTGTGGATTTGAATATCTTCCCATGGGGAGCCTTTTGAAGATCAAGTCAGGTTAAGTCGTTTCAGATCAGGTCAGGCGAGTTCAAATCAAGTCAGGTTAAGTCAAAATACGTCAGGTAATTTCAGATCACTTCATATTGGGTCGGGTCAGGTCATACTACGTTAATTCATGTCAAGTCAGGACGGAAAGAATATAAAAGTAAAAGGGGAACAAGACCTGGACTTCCAGGAGTTCCAGGAATTAAAGGGAAATGTTTTAACAACGTAGAAGTCCTACAGTCATCTGCGGAATTGAATATTATTGTCCTCCAAAGGAGAAGAAATGTCAAGCCAGTTCAGATCATGTCGGGTTAAGTCATTTCAGATCAAGTCAAATCAGTTCTGATGACCTGAGGTCAAGTCAAAATACGTCAGGTACACCAGAACAGAAGTAAATCTAAAAGAGGAACAACACTTGGGCTTCCAAGTTTTTCAGGAGTAACAGGGAGGGTTTTTAATGAAGTAGAAGTCCCACACTCCCCTGTGGAATTCAGAATCTTCCCACGGGGGTCTCTTTAAAATTACCTTTCCTCCAAAGAAAAAAAAATTAAGCCAAGTTGGATCAAAATTCAAATTAAAGTCTTTTCAGATTGGGTCTGAACAGTTTTGATCACGTCAGATCATGTCAAAATACGTACGATTATGTCAAGGATAGATTACAATTACATCAAGTCACGTTAGGTTAGCTTAGTTTACTCCAAGTCTGTTCAAGTCACATTAGGCCACTTCCACTTCGATCAAGTCAGGTTATACTTGGTCAGTCAATGTTAAGTCAGAACAGAATACTTAGAAATGGAAATAAAAGTGAAACAGATTTGGACTTCCAGGAGTAACAGGGAGGGGTCGAATGAGGGAGCTTTTGAAGGTTTAATCTCCTTCAAAGGAGAAAAAATAATCAAACCAAGGCCAATAAAGTTACATTAGATCATGCCAGATCAGGTCAGGTTAATCCAGGTTGTTATGTTAGGTCAAGTTAGGTTATACTAAGTTACTCCATGTCAGGTTAGAGTACAACAGAAGTAAAAATCAAAGAGGAACAAGACTTGGACTTCCGAGGTTTTTTAGAAGTAAGAGGGAGAATTTTTAATGAGGTAGAGGTCTCCCAGTCCTCCATGGAATTGAATGTCTTCCTTCGTAAAGCCTTTGAAACTTTTTAAAGGTTTGCTCTCATCCAAATGGGAAAAAATGTCAAGTCAAGTCAGATAAATTCCGGATAAGTCATTTCAAATCATGGTGAAGTATGGTGAAGATATTAATTTGTATTGTATAAACTTGTTTTTAAATTTTAATGTGCTCTTTAAACATTAGTGTGTGAATGTTGTATTACATCGTGTTATTTTTTAGATTAATCTCCTAATGATGTCAGATAAAACTGCCAGAGTTAAATTTTTTTTGACGCAATTAAATATCCTCCACTCAAGCACCAAAGATAACAAAACGGTAGATAATAAAATACACAAAATTACGGTTATCTATAAAAATAATGTTTGGGATCATTGCCTGAATATAAATTTATCCACAAAGATAATTTACAGCCTAACCTCAAACATGCCACTGAAAGTCGGAATATAAGAAGTTAAATAGTGGGGGTTCTGGTTCACTTCTTCCGACCAAATTTAGTGTAACATAATAATCTTTAGCCATTTTTGTACACTCATATCAATAAACACTAAATTTCATTTAAGAGTGCAACACCTCTCTCTCCCCTAAAGACCCAATTTCCTTCCTCAACCCCCCAGTCCGCCCCTGCCCCCACACTCCGAACCTTCAGAACCCAAGCACGACACTCGCTCATCCGGAAAAGCGCTTTCCTGCCGCCACCTCAGACACTTTCCATCCCGCCTCGAATCAGTCCATGGCGCCCTCCCGCCATTCGCCCTCTGTAAATTTAATGCTGCAGCCCGTTGGCCTTATAATTCTCCGGTTACGATTCTATAAAATTCTGTACTCGTTTAACCCGAATGTGCTATAAATTTTAATGTGTCACATAAAGCGGCTGATTGGGACGCCGGCGTTATTAAAAAAGTGGCTTTTGGCCTATTTTTTTTGCCGTCGGGGAGGAAATTGCATTCGAAACTCCATTTCCAGGCCGGATGGAACATGCACCTTTAGCCGGAAATGGGTTTCAACCGCGGGCATGTGTTCGTTAAGGGTGATTATTGGAATGAGTGACGTCACGGGAAGGGGAAGGTCGTGGTTGCTGATAAGGAGGGAGGATAGTGGTGGATGAATTAGTGAGGGGGTGGTAATGACGGGATTAATATTGAGATCGGTGTGGGTTATTTAGTGTCCAGTTGATTATTCATGGCGGGTTGTGGAGATTATAAAATTCTATAGTGTTTACGAATTTATTGGCAAAGCATTACAAACATGAACATTTAGTTAATTTAACATGGAAACAATTATAACTCAGTCCATATCTACAATTTCACAGCTATGGTACTTAGAACTCGTCTCCAGCCAGCTCTCCACGTCGTTGGAAGTCAGGTCATCACTCGAAGGAAGCTCAGTCAACGGTTCCATCTCGCTTAAATAGCAGTTCTGGCTAAGATTCCCGTTTTCTTTAAATTTCTCGTACGACCTGTACCGACTACTGTCATTGGAGAACGCCCCAGGAGACAACGGACAAGCTAAAACCACCCAAAATGAGCGACTTGGTTCACCCAAAAGTACCAAAATTATTGTACCTTCAGTCTTTTTGGTTCTGATGGGAGATTTGTACTCTCCACTGGAAGTCAAAGACGAAGTGATACTCGGAAGCCGAATATCCAAATGTGAACCCTTTGCCGTCACAATTTTGTTATTCATAGCGTAGAGCTTGGTAGCGATGTCTCTAGCGATTAAAGTCGTGAGTACCGTTCCTACGTAGGTGTCTTTGACGAAGAGGTACTCCAAAGCAGATCGTTGCCAGTACAAGTACCTGCAGGTACTTGCAGCCACAATCGACACCTACAACACCCCCAGATTAAACCACTACTTTTCCTGTAAATTATTTAGTACCTACTTTAAATTTGTCGTCTACGGTGTTCCTGCTGGACTCAAACTCCGGCGAATCCAGAAACTCGCACGGCAAAATCGGGTGCAGGAACTGGTTGTCCGACAAAACATTCACCTTCCCGGACAAAAGCAGCCCCAACCGGTCCGTCCGGGTCAAATTCTGCACAGCGTAGGCCTCTCCAGCGTGCAGAGACATAACCTGGGCGAACTCCGCGCTCACCATTCGCTTGAACTGCAGCCTGGAAAGCTAACTTTAGGTTAAAAAAAGTACACTTTTTCGCGGTACTTTGAAGGGTTCGAAGAGGGCGTGGTAGGCTTCTTCCAGTTCTGGGTCGAACTTGACCGGTCGGAGTTGGTACAGGATGTGGAAAACTTGGGCCATGTTCATGAGCATGAAAGCGAAGTTCCAGGTGAAGACGTCTGGAGCGCAGATTATGTTCCAAGCCCAGGCGGAGAAGAGCATCAAGCCTGGAAGAAGAGGAGTGAAGGGGGGTCGTGGGGGGCGGGTGCCTACCGATGATTAGCCAGGAGTGCATGAAGAGGACGCCTTTTTTCGAGCAGGTGGAGGAGTAGGCGAGGACGAAGCACATGTTAGCCATTTGGAAGAGGATGTTCTGGGGGTCTTTCCAGTAGTCGCACCAGGGCCACCATGTTTCTGCAAAAAGTGAATTTTCTAGCATTTCATAAAAATTACTAACTACTGAGTGACTATCAATGATTGAAGCAAACTTTTTTGTTGGCAATTCTGAATTATTGGCAGCCATGCTAGTATGTCATTCACAGTTGTCAATTTTGACAACAAAAGTATTGATCATTTGAGACGATGGCAGGTATTGACTTGGTGTCATAAATGTCAATTTAAAGTCAGGCATGCCATCATTTTTTTTAATTATCCCTTGTAAATTTGTTTCTATTTTCCAGTTTTATTTCGTAAAATTTTTTATCATCCTTTCAATTTTCAACTTTTATCGCATTTCTAACTTTCTTCATATTTTATTTCTTGAATTTCAAATCATGGAATTATTTTGTTTCTTCTACTCTATCTATTTTGATTTGTTTTCAATTCTGTCTGGATATTTTTCCATCATTTTTCGCTTTTTTCATTTCACTTCAAAATTTTGTTTTTGTTTTTATTTTAGCAAGTATTGGCCCCGCCCACCCACCCTTTATTTTCTTCGAACGTATGCTATCTGCCAAAATCAGTCTTATTTTGGCAGGTATTAGCCCCGCCCACCCACCCTCTTTTTTCTTAGAAAATATGTCATTTGCCAAAAATCAGTTTTCTCTTAGCAGGTACTAATCCCACCCACCCGCCCTGTTTTCTTAAAGGGATGTGATTTGCCAAAATCAGTCTTTCTTAGAACGTATTAGCCCCGCCCACGCACCCTCTTTTTACTTAGAGGGATCTCAGTAGCCAAAATCAGTCGTATCTTAGCAGGTACTAGCCCTCTAAGAAAATAAAGGACGGGTAGGTGGGGTTAGTACTTGCCAAAATGACTAATTTTGGCAGATGGCATACGTTCGAAGAAAATAAAGGGTGGGTGGGCGGGGCCAATACTTGCCTAGATAAGACTAATTTTGCCGAATAATATACCCTCTAACCGTCATTTTCTTAAAGGGTATGTCATTTGCGAAAATCAGTCTTTCTTACCAGGTACTAGCCCCGCCCACCCACCCTCTCTTTTCTTGGAAGATATGTCATTTGACAAAATCAGTCTTATCTTAGAAGATAATAGGCCCGCCCACCCACACTTACTTAGACTGAAAACCGAAAAATACAAACATTTAAATATTGAAAAGCTGAAAAGTCAGAAATTGAAATATTTAGTGACGACGACACGAAAAATTGAAAACTGAGTCCAAAAATTGGAGAAATGAAAAATTTTAAGAATGAAAAATTGAAAGAAAATAGAAAATCAGACAATTAATAATCGAAAAATTCAAAAATTGAAAACTGGATAAGTGAAAAATTGAACAATGGAGAATTGGAAAACTGAAAAATCGGAAATTTGAAAATCCAAAAAGTGAAAAATCAAAAATATAAAAACTGAAATATTGAAAATTCGAAAATGAAAAATCGAAAAACTTAAGAATCAAAAATTCGAAAATTGAAGATTGAATAAATGATAAATCGAATAATGTAAAACTCAAAAACGGAAAAATCAAAAACTTGAAAATCCAAAAATTGAAATATACATATGTAGAAACAACGGAAGATTGATAATCGAAATATGGAAAATCGAAAAACGGAAAATTAATAGACCGGAAAATCGAAAACTTGAAAGTCTAAACACTGAAAAATTTGAAAAATTCATAAATTGAAAACTCAAAATTTGGAGACATGAAGAATTTCAAGCTTTCAAAAAATTAAAAAAAAAGCTAAAATTAAATTACCAGAAACAGAAGAAACAGGAAATTGCTAGATGGAAACATTGAAAAATCGAAAAATCGAGAAAATCGAAAGTGTTTAAATTTAAAATCGAAAATTTGAAAAATTCGAAAACAGAAGACCTGACAAATTGAGAAATTGAAAAGTGGAGAATTATAAAACTGAAATCTAGAAATTGGAAAATTTGAAAAATAGAAAACTGCATAACGGAAAATTTGAAAATCGAAAAATTGAAAAATGGGAAATGCAAAAACTGAAGAATCGAAAAATTTTGAAAATTGAAATATTGAAACATCGAAACTGAAAAATCCATAAATTGAAAAATTGAAAATTCGAAAAGTTGAATAATCGAAATATTCAAAGATCGAAATCTGAAGAATAGAAAAACTGAAAAATGGAAACCTGAAAAATCTAAAATTCGAAAAATCGAAATCTGGAACTCCAAAAATCTGAAGAATCGAAAAATTGAAGAAAATACAGGGTGGGTGGGCGGAGCCAATACTTCCCTAGATAAGACTGATTTTGCCAAATGATATACCCTCTACCCTTCATTTTCTTAGAGGGTACGTCATTTGCGAAAACAGTTTTAATGATAATAATTCGAATAATGTAAAACTCAAAAACGGAAAAATCAAAAATTTGAAAATCCAAAAATTGAAATAAGTATATGTAGAAGCATCGAAAAATTGAAAATCGAAATATGGAAAAATCGAAAAATGGAAAATTAATAGACCGAAAAATCAAAAACTTGAAAGACATTGAGAAATTTGAAAAATTCAAAAGTTGAAAAACATTGAAAAATCGAAAAATCGAGAAAATCGAAAGTGTTTAAAATTAAAATCGAAAATTTGAAAAATTCGAAAACTGAAGACTTGACAAATTCATAACTTGAAAAGTGGAGAATTATAAAATCGAAATCTGGAAATTGGAAAATTTGAAAAATCAAAAAATTGAAAACCGAAAATTTGAAAAATAGAAAACTGCATAACGGAAAATTTTTAAATCGAAAAATTGAAAAATAGGAAACGTAAAAACTAAAGAATCGAAAAATTTTGAAAATTGAAATATTGAATCATCGAAAATCGTAAAATCCATAAAGTGAAGATTCAATAAATTCAAGAATTGAAAACTGTGTAAATGAAAAAAAAAATTCAAAAGTCGAAATCTGAAAATAGAAAAACCGAAAAATGGAAACCTGGAAAATCTAAAGTTCGAAAAATCGAAATCTGGAAAACCAAAAATCTGAAAAATCGAAAAATGGAAAATTACAAAAAGGGACTAATCAAAAACCTCAAGTCCAAAAATTGGAGAAATGAAAAATTTTAAGAATGAAATATGGAAAATTGTAAGAAAATAAAAAATCAGAAAATTAATATAATCGAAAAATTTAAACATTGAAAACTGGATAAGCGAAAAATTGAACAATGGAAAATTGAAAAACGGAAAAATCGAAAATTTGAAAATTTAAAAAGTGAGGAAGCAAAAATTTAAAAACTGAAATATTGAAAATTCCAAATTCAAAAATCAAAAAACTTAAGAATCAAAATTCAAAAATTGAAGATTGGATGAATAATAGATAAATCGAATAATGTAAAACTCAAAAACGAAAAAATAAAAAACTTGAAAATCCAAAAATTGAAATATATATAGGAACATCAAAAAATTGAAATTCGAAATATGGAAAACTCGAAAAATTGAAAATTAATAGACCGAAAAATCAAAAACTTGAAAGTCTGAAGATTGAGAAATTCGAAAAATTCAAAAGTTAAAACATTAAAAAATCGAAAAATCGAGAAAATCGAAAGTGTTTAAATTTAAAATGAAAATTTGAAAAATTCCAAAACTAAAGACGACAAATTCAGAAATTGAAAAGTGGAGAATTATAAAATCGAAATCTGAAAATTGGAAAATTTGAAAAATCAAAAAATTGAAAACCGGAAATTTGAAAAATAGAAAACTGCATAACGGAAAATTTTAAAATCGAAAAATTGAAAAGTGGGAAATAAATGCAAAAACTGAAAAATTGAAAAATTTTGAAAATTGAAATATTGAAATATCGAAAATTGAAAAATGGATACTAACCCCGCCCACCCGCCCTCTATTTTCTTAGAGGGATCTCATTTCCCAAAATCAGTGATGACGAAACGAAGAATTGAAAAAATTGGAAAACAAAAAAATCAGAACACTTAAGAATCAAAAATTCAAAAATTGAAGATTGGACAAATGATAAATCGAATATTGTAAAACTCAAAAACGGAAAAATCAAAAACTCGAAAATCCAAAAATTTAAATTTATGTACAAACATCGAAAAATTGAAAATCAAAAAATGGAAAATTGAAACACTGAAAACTGAGTCCAAAATTTGGAGTAATGAAAAATTTTAAAAATGAAATGTTGACAAATTGAAAGAAAATAAAAAATCAGAAAATTAGTAATCGAAAAATTCAAAAATTGAAAACCGGATAAGCGAAAAATTGGATAATGGGAAATTGAAAAATGGAAAAATCAAAAATTTGAAAATCCAAAAAGTGAAGAATTAAAAATTTAAAAATTGAAATATGAAAATTCGAAAATAAAAAATTCAGAAAACTTAAGAATCAAAAATTAAAAAATTGAAGATTGGATAAATGAATAAAATCAAAAACAGAAAAATCAATAACACGAAAATCCAAAAATTGAAATATATGTAGAAACATCGAAAAATTGAAAATCTTAATATGGAAAAATCGAAAAATGGAAAATTAATAGACCGAAAAATCAAAAACTTGAAAGTCTGAACATTGAAAAATTTGAAAAACTCAAAAGTTGAAAAACATTGAAAAATCGAAAAATCGAGAAAATCGAAAGTGTCTAAAATTAAAATCGAAAATTTGAAAAATTCGAAAACTGAAGACTTGATAATTCAGAAATTGAAAAGTGGAGAATTATAAAATCGAAATCTGGAAATTGGAAAATTTGTAAAATGAAAAAATTGAAAACCGAAAATTTGAAAAATAGAAAACTGTATAACGGGAAATTTTTAAATCAAAAAATTGAAAAATGGGAAATGTAAAAACTGAAGAATCGAAAAATTTTGAAAATTGAAATATTGAAACATCGAAAATTGAAAAATTCAGAAAGTGAAGATTCAATAAATTCGAAAATTGAAAACTGTATAATTGAAAAATCGAAATATTCAAAAATAGAAATCTGAAGAATAGAAAAACTGAAAAATGGAAACCTGGAAAATTTTAAAAAGCATCGAAAAATTGAAAATCGAAATATG